CGCGCGCACGCCCGGTCACCTGGGGGACTCAGGAGACATTGCCCCTCTACGTGATCAGCCCCGGGGCACGGGGGGTCCCCACCTCCCCACTACCCTGTCTCCCGGGTCCCAGGCACTCCCGCCCCGCACACCCCGGGGGCCCAGGTGCCACCGCGCGGCACGCACCGTTTGTCCTCAGCTGGTCCTGGCTGCCGAGAAGCGCCCCGCGCTCCGTGGAGGCTGCGGAGAGAGGCTGCTGCAGGCGCCGCCGGGGACTCCGGAACCCTCCCCTGGCTTAGGGGCTGCGGGGTCCCCCGTCTTGGGACCCACAGAGGGGCAGGCAGGCGTACAGCGCAGGCAATGCGCACACACCGATGAAAGAGACACACAGAGACGTGCACACCCACACACGCCCTCACGTGTACACACGTGTGCGTGCACACAGCCCGGAGATGTACACGCACTCTGTTCACACGTGCTCACACTCAGACTGGTGCGCCCTGAAGGGAGGAGGTTTGTGTCCCCAGGAGGGCCACACACAACCTCTCCCCATTAAGGGGTCACTCACCTCTAGACAATAGGATGCTCAGAATGAGAGCCCACAGGACTGTGGTGACCAGGACAGCCAGGGCCAGGAGAAGGGGTCTCTGCCTGCAGTGCTCCCAGCCTCCGCAGCGCCCTGGGAGAACACGGAGGGACTGCTGGATACCCCAGGATTGAGCCCGGGATGCTTGGGTTCCTCCCAGAAAACAGAGATTCAGAGACGTTAAGTAACCTGTCAATAGTCACACAGCCCCTACGTGGCGGGTGGAATTTGGATCCTGGTCCAACTGGCTCTGTGTCCTTTGGTGTCTGTCCTGCCACCACTACCTGGACCCTTTCTGCCTCTTCCCGTCCCCTCCCTCATCAAACCCCAGTCAGGGGGACAGAAAGAGACCTATGAGGCATTCCCATTGCTCATGCATACCTCCAGGAACCTCCTGGGGCCCGCTGCCAAACTTGCTGTGCTTGGAGGTGGTCATGACAGTGCCGGCGTCCAGCCCTGGGCACGGATGTAAATCTAGCCCCCACCAGTACTGGCCCCACCCACTCTTCCTTTTTTCCCTCCCCGTTCTTTGACTCAATTCCAGTAAAAGGAACCACTGAGCCGTCGTAGGGCTGGGGGTAGGAATTGGGGGCAGTTCCAGCCTCCCTGTCCTGCAGCTGCAGCTACATGCCCCAGCTGGTGCTGGTGGCTTCTCTCTGCAGCTTGGTCCCCATCTCCTGTAGGCCTGGGGCTGGGCCTCCTCCTGAATCTGGTCAAGTTCTGAGCCCTGCTGTTTCCTGAGAAAGCCCCCTCAGGCGTGGCCACCAGCACAGTTCATCTTTCCTCTTCAAGTCCCCTGCAGGTGCCTGCCAGAGGCTGGGTCTGACCCTGACCTTAATTTAGTCCCTCTGCGGCAGAATGCAGGAAGAGATGTTTGCGGGGTGGTGCTCAGCTAAGCTGCTGGACTGTACTACTGGGTGGGTGGGAGGTTGAGGGTCTATGTAGTGTGTAGCTTCTAGAAACCTCAGCTTCTCCTCTTTGAAAAGGGGGACAGTGGCAGGGGCTCCCTCACAGGGACGCTGTGATAAAGAAGTGAGGTTATGCACGTCAAACCCAGCAGCATCTCAGGCACTGGAACACTAATGTTCATGCATCCTTTCAATAAGTGTCGAACACTTACCATATGCCAGATGCTGATCAGGGATCTGGGGCTGCATCAGTGAACAAAATAAGCAAATCCCTTCCTCTTTGGTTCTGACATTCCAGTGGGAAACAGAGGGGACAGACCCCAATGTTGATATTGCCAAGGGTGAGAACCCTAATGTACTATATTTTAAAAAGTGAATGTCCATGGTGAAGAGGAAGAGGGTGACACGTTAAAGGTCAGCAATAGTTAGAGAACAAGGAAAGGCTGAGAAAGGCCATTTTCCAAAGAATGGGAGGGCCGTGCTTTTCCTTCCAGATGTCCCCTTTTTCTGAGATGTAAGACTCATCTTGCCTTTGTCATCAGAAATGGAGCCCGCGTCAACAGGCGCTGACATCTGCCTTAGCAGCAGGACTTCACTGTGGCACAGAGCTTTTTGGTGGGGCACGTCCTCCTTTTGCGGCTTTCGAGGTGCTCAGGGAGAGGAAATGATGAAACCACAGCCTTGAGCAATCTCTGTCCTCAGCAGCCATCAGGATATATTCTTGGGAAAGGAATTAGATGAAATTGATTCATCAGTCCTTATGGAGGAGGGAGCATTAATTGTATGGGGGCTCAGGTCAGGTTTTCTGGAAGAGACAGCATTGGAACGGTGCCTTCAAGGACATGTGAGCTGTTGACAGAAAAAGGAAGGGGCATGTCCGGCACAGGGCACAGCCAAGACAAAGGCAAAGGGACAGGAAAGTGGGTCTCTGTTGGATGCACCTGTGGCCGAGGTGGCCTTGGGGAACCAGGGCACACCTGTCCAGCTTAGAGAGGAAGTCAGAGTGCTGCCGATCCCTTGTGCTGTCCCTAGAGCTCACCACAGGGGAAGTGAGAGGGGAAGGGTGGTCCTACTTATGAGATTGGTTGCAGACCTTCAATCTGTAGTGCTGGCCCAGGACAGGGAAAAAGTCATAAGTGCTATGGAATAATGAAAGGAAGAAAAAGTCAAGTAGGACAAAGGGTTTGGGAGGGCTGGGGCTTGGTCATTCAGCAGTAGGTATGGTGGAAGGTGAGGCCGTGGAATGCCTTGTTGAGAATGTAAAATGTTGTTTTATGAAGCACTTAGTAGGTTGTTTCAGTCCCTCTTGTAAACACGACACATCTTCCTGATCCTCTCAACCCCTTCCGAAAAATACCTACATTTTTTAAGAAACTGTTACTTGATGTCGATTTTCCTGCCTTGTTCCAAGAAGGAATTAGGAAGAAATTTATAATAAAATAAAATGAAAAGACAAGAAGATTTTTTAAAAAATGGAAGACAAAGGAGAAATGGGGGTAAAGAAGGGAACATGAATCTAAGAGACGAGGTGTGTACACAAGACTCAGACCAGAGCACAGACTCTCGGTCATGTATCTCCTTGCTTGATTTCAGCAGGGAGTAAGGACAGACACCTTGAGATGTGCAACCAAGTTTTCTAGACGAATCTCTGGGATGGAACATGTAGAACTAAGCCCTCATGGAACTTTCCAGAAAGACAGGAGCAATATTCTGCCATGGGGGCTTCATGTCCAGGCAGTTCTAGTAAAAGCAGACTGGCTTTACCTGACAGCAGATGGCTGTCACCAGTGTTGGGTGTTTTTAGAATGTTTCAAGCAACTGTGAGTTTTAATGTATACCTGGAGGTACCTGTTACTGGTGAGCTCTCTCTCTCTCTCTCTCTCTCTCTCTCTCTCTCTCTCTCACACACACACACACACACTATAATAATTTTCAGTAGCAGGCTCAATTATTTCATTTAGAAATGAACTTGATCCTCTGAACACAGGTGACTGAGACTGCTTGGTCTTAGAGACCCCATGCACATTGTTTTTTAACAAGAAAGATTTGCGTTGATTTATTTTTCACGTATATTTAAATTAAAAAGTTTTGTTGAACTATTATTGACCTACAATAAACTGTACATATTTAAAGGTACAATCTGATGAGTTCTGACATATATATGTATCTGTAAAACCATCACCACAACCCAAATAGTGAATGTGTCAATCTCTCCCCCAAGTTATTTTGGGCTCATTTGTAATCCCTCCTCCTCTAATCCCTGGAACCCACTGATCTGCTTTCTGTCATTAGATTAGTTTGCATTTTCTAGAATTCTGTATAAATGAAATCATACAGTTTGTAGCCTTTTGAGGCTGGCTTCTTTCTTCACTCAGCATAATTATTTTGAGATTCATCCATGTCATTTTGTGTATCAATAGTTTATTCCTTTTCATTGTGGAATAGCAGTATTTCATTGCATAGATGTGCCAGAGTTCATGCATTCACCCGTTGATAGATGCTGGGGTTGTTTCCACTTTTTGGCTATGAAAAATAGAGCTACTATTCACACTCAGGTACAAGTGTGTGGACATATGCTTTTATTTTCTTAGGTAAATACCTGTAAGTGGACAAATAGGTCATATTGTAGGCATGTGTTTCATTTTTCAAGAAACTGACAAACTGTTTTTCCAAAGTGGTTGTACCATTTTATTTTCCCACCAGCAATGTATGAAAGTTCCAGATCCCCTGCATTATGGCCAACACTTGCTTGGGAGGAAATGCAGCAAAAATAATGTAGCAATTAGAATAACTTTAAGAAAACATTATATGTGCTTGTACTGCAATGAATTTAAAAATATGAAAGAAACAGTTTCTTAACAAAACATAAGCCCAAGTAAAAATAGAAAGTCTAAACAGAAAAGAATCAGCAAGAGATTAGAAAGGTCCTTGAAGAACTGACATTTTAAAAAGGCACTTGGCCCAAGTAGTAATATCATCCCTCCCTGATTCCTACATTCCTGGTTTTATACTGCTTCTGGCTCCACAGTTTGGGTGACCATTTTGGACTCTCCTGTTGGCTGGATAGATCTTAGTTTGTCTCCTACCCTTTTTGTATCTTTGTTTACTCTTATGAATTCCAGCAACTCCTCCAGCCTCAGTGATGCTCAATAGGCAGGCTCCAACTCTAAAGAAACTTGCCACTGACAGCTGGGTTAGACCCAATCCCTCTCTTCCTCCATCTGCACAATGGGAAGGGATTAGGAACAGGAAGAACACAAGGCTGGTGTTATCACCACACTGTTAGCACAGTATGTGAGATCCTAGCAAAAGGTATAAGACATGAAAAGAGAGTAGGTGTAAGTATTAGAAGCAAAGAGAGAAAACCATTATTACTTTAAGAAAATATGATCACCTACTGTAGTGGATTGAATTATGTCCCCCCAAAACTCATTGAAGCTTGAATTGTCCCCCAAGTTTTATGTATTAGAAACTTGGCCCCCACTGTGAC